CCAAGTGAGTGAGCCAGAATCCATGTTTCCCAACGGAACTGAGCCTGCCCCACTCCGTGCTACCTTATTACAGTAAGTGAGGGAAAGGCAATTTTCAGCATAGAAGTTGGTCAGCGCCTCATGCTCGCAAAGATCTACTGCAGCCTTAACAGAACTTGCAGAAAAACACCAGGAGGTAGGGCTACCTGCACCAGGTTGGGAAATACTTGAAGATTTGGGGGGTGGAGCCTGAGGAGGGCGGGGTTTGGGGAAGAGAGGGAATTCAGTGGGGTAGAATGCCATGGAGTCCAAAGTGGCCATTTTCTTCAGAAGAACTGATTTCTGTCGCTTGGAGTTCAATTGTGATCCCAGGAGATCTCCAGCCACTACCTGGAAGCTGGCAACCCTACAAGGAGAGCTCTGTAGGATCAGACCACAGGCCCTTAGGGGTGTCATCTTCTGGGCGTGTGGGGCAGCGGTCATTTCCTGCAGGAGCGCACAGGAGCAGAGCTCCGGCAGTAAGGAGCCCAGGGGGTGTGGCACATGCAACAAGCCCCACCCCCTGCTCCCAGCAGCCCTCAGTCGGGCCACGAGGAGCAAGAAGCAGCCAGGTAAGTTGCAGAGCCCCCCCCCAGCCCGCCTTCAGGTACAAGCTCTCCCTCCTCTGTGAGGGCAGATCTGTGCATTCCACACACACACCCCATAGCTAGCAATCCAAAACAGTCCAGTGGCACCTTTAAGACCAAGTTTTATTCAGGTAAAGGCTCTCCCTCCTCTGCGAGGACAGATCTGCACGCTCCCCCCTCCCCAATAGCTGGCAATCCAAAACAGTCCAGTGGAGCCTGAGCGGTGGGCGTTGCCTTCTGACACATTTCCGGTGATGTCAGGGGGTGTGGCATATGCAAATAAGTTATGCTAATGAGCTCCTGCACCTCTTTTTCTATGAAATGACCCCTGGTGGGGGGGAGGTATTTGTGAATTTCCTGCATTGCACAGGGGTTTGGACTAGATGACCCTGAAGGTCCCTTCCAACTCTATGATTCTATGATTCTATAAATATGTGGAGATTTGGGGAGTGGGGCCTTGGGACGAAGGGGTTTGGAGAGGGGAGGGACCTCAGCAGGGTATGATGCCATAGAGCCCACCCTCCAAAGAAGCCGTTTTCTCCAGGGAAAGTGATCCCGGTGTCTGGAGATCAATTGTAATAATGGGAGATCTCCAGATGTCACCTGGACTGTCTATGTCATCATCCTGTTTGTTGCGATGGGCAGCCTGAAGCGCCAGAAGGCCCACAAAGTGAAAGCCCCCCCCCTCACTCTTGCCCCTCAGGACCTTTGAACATGGTGGCTCCATTTAGCTATCACAGCCAATAGCCATTAATTATTCCAATTCACTCTTCAAGCTGCCAGAGTTCCACAATGCATTTATGCCTCGTCTGAAGAAATACGCCCATTTGTCTATCCCAAGTCTATGGCCCATCACCAAGTGACTCAGAAACAAACTAAACATGACGGCAGCCATGGATTCATCCTGTGGCCGCTGGAGAGTTGGAGCAAGCCTGAAGGTAATGGTAACTCTGTAGGGAATTAGAAAAGCTAAGTTAAAGAGCCTGTCCTAATTCTAACATCTAGCTGGGGCATGTTTTAGAGAGAGGGACAGAGGATGTGTGTGGCTGCCCATTTCTCTTGGATTCCCTTGCTCGGTGGTAGCTCTTTAAAAATTGCTGTGAGGTCCTAATCCAGAGGGGCCGTGGTAGCCCAGAGGTTAAGATGCTGTGCTGCAGACTGGAAGGTCTGTAGTTTGGCAGTTTGAGACCCTAGTGCCGCATGGTGGAGTGAGCTCCCATTTCTGGCCCCAGCTCCTGCCAACCCAGCAGTTCGAAAGCAAGAAATTGCAAGTAGATAAATAGGTACTGCTTTGGTGGGAAGGTAACAGAGTTCTGTGCACCTCGGCGTTTAGTCATGCCATCCACATGACTGTGGACATGTCTTTGGACAGCGCTGGCTCTTCGGCTTGGAAACGGAGATGAGCACCGCCACCCTAGAGTCGGATTCGACTGGCTTTCGAACAAGGGAAACCTTTACCTTTTACCTGATCCAGATCATGCACACAGTAGCCCCAAGAGCTCCCGTTTCCTCCTGCACCTTTTTTGGCACCTGAAAAGGTGTGTGTGGGGGGGGGAGGAACAAGAGCTCCTAGGGTGTCCGTGCCACACAACTGATCCAGACTGGGGCCTCGTGGCAATTTTAAAACAACTATAACTGCTTCTAAAATGATGTTGGTGGCCCGAGGATGGACCCGTAGCTAGTGTCACATTTAGTTTGGCTCTGAATTCCAGTCTCTGTTTCCAGAGTTTTCCAGTCTCCAATGCCCACTGAAACCCACCCCCTCCAAGTTTCTTGGATGTCTTTTTCTACAGAGTCTTCACACTGGTGGCATTCTTGATTTCCCCCTTTCTGTTTGATCCCAAGGCAGCTTACTACACGGGACCCCCAAGACCAAGGTACACAATTTAAACAAAGGCAACAAAATCACAATGATTTGATTAGGGCTGCCAAGTGGGGGCGAGGGGGCGGGTAAACCCCTGCTTTGGAGACCCGATTTCCACCGCCGCGGAATCGGGCCCCGGGGGGAACTCCGCCCCCCGAAGCGCAGCGTGGCTGCGTCACCAGAGGTGACGCAACCACGCTGATCCCGTTGGGGGCGTGGCCCCGATCGTCAGAGGGAAAACTCTGTGGTCCCTCATCGTGCGCGCGCGCGCCGCCAGCACATCACCAGAAGTGACGCACGACGTCGATCAGGTTGAGGGCGTGGCCCTGATCGTCAGAGGGAAAACCATAGAGTTTTCCCTCTGACGATCGGGGCCACACCCTCAACCTGATCGACGTCGCGCGTCAGTTCTGGTGATGTGCTGGCGGCGCGCGCACGCACGACGAGGGACGGCTCCCGGAGCGCGGCGAGGCTCCCCCGCCGGTGAGTAAAATTCATTTGGCAACCCTAGATTTGATCAATGACCAAATGAGCATTAGATGTACAGAGGGGAAAAGACAACAAGCAGTCGAAAGCACGTGGCTGGTGGGGGAGGGGAGATTAAAAAAGAACAAGAGAACAATGGGCGGCACGGGGGGGGGGGCTTTGGGCCTGCTTTGAAGGCAGAAGAGTTAGGGTTGCCAGCCTCCAGGAGAGGCCTGGGGTTTCCTGGAATTACAACTGCTCTCCAGACTCGCAGTCCGTTCCCCGGGAGGACCTGGCAGCTTTGGAGGCAGATTAGGAGGAGCAGAAGTCCCAGAAGGAAATCGGATTGCAGCTGAGTTCCGTCCCCCTTCCCAGACTCCGCCTTTCGCAGGCACTGCCCTCAAATCTGGAGCTAACAATCACTTAAGGGAACAGATGAGTAAATATGAAATCAGCCAGGGCTCTTTTTGTAGAAAAAGCCCAGCAGGGACTCATTAGCATAATAGGCCACACCCAACAGCAGGAACTCATTAGCATATTGGGCCACACTCCTGACAGCACAGCTCATT